GTTTGGCCACGGTCAGGCCTCTGCCGACGTCGACGTCTCGGACTCGGCCGAGAACAGCTCGCGGGAGAGCTAGAGACGAATGGTTAGATAGGTACACGAAGATCGTAGGGTGCCTATAGTGTGGGAGGGAAAGAGTTGTATGAATATTGCGGACGAACTGTTCTGGCTCTCTCTTCGTCTTCCATATCTAACGGGGACTCAACGACGCTGGGCTTGGTTGCTACTGTACTCGACGCTGATATTCCACGTGGTTTAAGCTGAGACTCAAGGGAATCGCAGACACTTTTTCGAAAGAGCGGCGCTGAGTTTTCGGTGTGGCTGATGTATTGCTGTCCCTCTCTCTCCCTCTGTGCTTTTCGGCTGTTCCTCGCTCCATTCGGTTGCCTCTCTGCTGGGTTCTCATTATCGTGTACTCTCGGTGCGTGGGTGAGCTGATCGGCTGGCGGTTTCTATCTAGCTATTTTCCCTATCGTAAATAAGACTAGCTTTCGGCTATATATACTATATTATAATTATCTTATATTTATCTTGGACTTCAGTGTCGCATAACTTATTGTTAACCGTTTCAGTATGGATGACTTATGCTATACATTGTATATGAGATTGTGAGGCTCCCAGAATGGTTCCTGACAACTTTTAGGAAGATCCAGGATCCTCACCAACTCGTTCAATTGTTCCAGTGAAAGAGGCTTGCAATATTTATATTCTCCTGATTGGTCATTACTTGAATCCGTTGTTCCATGCGACGAAGATGACATCTTCTCTTCTTTGCGTTTTAATGGCGGTATTTCCTCTAAAAGAGGAGCAAGAAGCGTAAAGCCATGACCAGATTGTTTCAGGTAATGGATTCATTCATGGATCTCCCGATTTCAGTTATTTTGAATGAACAAAAGAAACATTCAGAGCCGTGAATCTCTGGTTTTCTTCACAGCATTGGAGTAAAAGTAACTGTCCATACCTAGGACTCGGTAAAACCAAAATTACAGGTCCTTTTAGTTTCCGACAATCCCATTTTGGCAATTGGAACAACAACATACCGTACGGTATTTTTCAGATTAAATGTTTCAAGTCGTTTATCCATCGATTCTCAAACGATAACTTAAATGACGCCTAATTAATGCGTCTATCTAAAACCAAAACTCATGCTAAGAAATATTCAATTTTCGACTTTTCCTGAGTTTTAAAAGTCAAAATTTCGGGAAAAACACCGCAAAAATATTATCAAATTTGAATTTGAAAGCTTAATATCTTCCAAATGTTAAGCTGCAGCTACAAAGTGTCTGGGTCGGATCTATAGCTGCAGAACTGCAAAGTTCTATGCAATGAGATATAAGATACTTAAGTTATGTGAAAAATTGAAGCACTACCTCTGAAAAAAAAAACATGGACAAAAATACAAAGTTTTAAAAATTCTTTAAAAAAAAACTAAACCATAAGCGGTAAAAAAAAGTTCAATTTTGTCGAGTAGTGTTATTATAATAACCAAACATATATTAATGAGGAAAATAAACTTTGCGAATATGTATCGCATTTAAAATATAGTAATTATGCTTTAATTAATTAAGAACAATCAAATAATTGAATACTTACCTTTGACAAAATTAAAACGGAACGTGGGAGTCGCTTCTGTGGAATCTACTTTTACACCCGTACTCAGTCAGTATATAAATATGTGTGCTTTTGATTTATGTGGAATTTAAAACATTTACATTTTTTTGCTACATTTCCTATCTACATCTTCCTCTTCAATGTCAATTACACATCTAGATTCGACATACATAAAGTAGATTCTACATCTTCTTCGAAAAGGTCGCGCATTGCACAGGGCACAGTGTGTGCGAGCGAGAAAGAGAATGAGTTGCGGGTCTCTTGCTGGACGAGGTGGGGGAAAAAACTGAAAATTAATTTCTTCATTCTGCCTATAATTATAATCCGATCTGATCGTCAATCTGGTAGATATTGTCATTCTCTACGACAATGCGTTTGCAGTTTTTTCGTATCTTTAAAATTGTGCCTGCCACAGATTTTCGTCCTTTGTGTGGGTGGAAGGGGGCGGGGCGAAATTCTGAAATACACTTGTAGCAGTGTGCACGGACGGACAGACGGAAAATGCTATATCGACTCGGCTATTGATGCTGATCAAGAATATATATACTTTATGGGGTCGGAAACGTTTCCTTCTCTGCGTTGCACAGATCCACTTTTTCCACAAACACAATATATGTATATACAATGTACCCCTTAACTCTTTGAGTAAGGTTATAAAAATCGGAAAAACTGGGTTAGCATTTACAACATAAGTATTAATCATTTTTTATTTATACTCTTATTTTATTTTGGTTAAAAAATAATGATTTGTATCCTATCGAAATTTCTCATGAAAACTGAAGAGAAAACAATAGAAAAAAAATTTCTCAATGAACAGAAAAATTAAGGGTGCTTTCAGAAATGCAAAATGTAGCGGGACGACACATTTAACGAAAGGGGGAGTTCTCAATCTCAATCTTCTCAATCTTATACGATTTATAAACAATCTTTGGCTTCCCATAAGATAATATCATAAGATTATATCATAATCAATGTTTGGTTTCCCACAGTTGAAAATCAGGCCACTCGGCCTTAGTATAAACAAACTTTCATTTTTCATAAAAATCTATAATCAATTTCCGCCCGCTGAATAATTGCTTCAAGCTTTTGCGTCGCAGCAGAAGACCAGCTTTCTTCAGACGATGCAATTTGGAATTTCACAATTCCTCAACTGGATGACCAAATCCAACCCGATCCGATCCAACCCGAATTTTTATAGAAGTTTCTCGAAGGAGATTCAAAGGGTTTCATGAGAAAACATTTATAAGAGTTAAAGTTGAAGTTAGAGTTGAAGTTCGCTCAATTACAAATGCCTCAGCATTTAGTCTTTGTAAAATAAAATCTTTTTCAAAGCACAAACCGCTACCGCAGTAATTTAATTTGTACAAGAATGTGGGGAGGCGTTGGAGGGCGATCCCTCACAATTGATAACAATGAATACACCTAAAAAACCTAAAAATACGTTACACACAGGCAGACTCCGGTTATCACGTTCACTTTACGCTTTACTTTTTATTTCAAGGCGCTCTGGAATCCACTTTTGTGAATTTGTTTACTCTTTGTGCTGTTAATCGCCAAATTTACTGCTGTTATACCCACGCGTTATGTTATATTTTACAGAGATTTATCGATAGCCAAATTGGGCTGCCACAGCTGTTAAGATGAATTCACATTTTATTTTTGGCCTGACCAATTTTTTCAGATCTAATTTTGAGGTTGGTTTAAATAAAAATTATTTATAAAAAGGGCACACGCTCAATTGCACTGGCAAGCGGAGTCAAATTCACGTCAATGCATCATTAAGTGATCTATTTTTTCCTTTTGCAATTAGTTGTATGAAAAGCCGTTTACTTTTCTTTTCGGCGAGGAATTTGTTGCCGTTTTGAAAACGGGAATGTCTTGCGTTTTACGAGTTTTGAAAAGTAAATCACGTATGCAAATAAAAGTTACGTTCATATTACCTAAATTATGTTGAAACTATTTGAAAGCTCTGGAAAATTCTCTATTTGATTCGTATATTCATTTTATCCAAAGAGCTTATAAAATACTTTGACTTTTGCCCCCTCTTTTCGGCTGAGGCCACTCTGTGCGTCGTCAACAACAGGGGCTTTGAATCTACGCACGTGCCCTCCATCTGGTTTTTTATACCCGTACTCAAAAAAGAGTTAAGGGGCATATTGTATTTGCGGTAAAAGTGGATGTGTGCAACGCAGAGAAGGAAACGTTTCCGACCCCATAAAGTATATATATTCTTGATCAGCATCAATAGCCGAGACGATATAGCCATGTCCGTCTGTCCGCCCGTCTATCCGTCTTGATGAGCGCCTAGATCTCAGAGACTATAAGAGCTAGACAAAACAAATTTTGTTTCCAGACTCATGTGATATCACACTGCTAAAAGTGTATTTCAAAATTTCGCCCCGCCCTCTTCCGCCCACACAAAGGACGAAAATCTGTGGCAGGCACAATTTTAAAGATACGATATATCTAAAAGCCCATATCTACCAGATTGCCAAATCTGAATAAGATCGGATCATAATTGTAGCCAGAATGAAGAAATAATTTTCAGTTGCTTCCCCCGCCTACTTCAGCCAGAGACACGCTGCTCATTCTCTCTCTCGCTCGCACACTCTGCCGCGTTCAGTGCGCGAGCAACCCCTAGCGGAAGTGATGTAGAATCTAAATGGTACATGTATAATCTACATGTTAGATGTAGAATACATAATATATGTAGATGTAGATAACAGATGTAGCAAAAAAATGTAAAATGTAAAATTTTTTTTTTAATTCTAAAATTCTAAAAAATCATATGCTCAAAAATGTATATACTGACTGAGTACGGGTATAAGTAGAGTCGCGTCCCCTAAAGAGACTCACACGTTCCTTCTCGTTTTTAAGAGGATTGATGACAATAGCGTGTTTGTCACTTTCCAGTTTGTGAATGTATGATTTGAAGAATTTAAATAATTCATTGTGCAATTCAAAGCACCAGTAAATATGTAAATGCTTCGGATGTAAATGCTCGATGAACTTTTTGGCGATTTTCTCTGTTAGTGTCAATCATGAACCTACTCGCCTGTCTCCGTTTCAATTTTCGTTGTTGATTTCATTCATTTCGTTCATTCATTGGAATTCACGCATTTACAAAATGCTCACACGCACATCGTTATCTTGTTGGAGTCATTCGTCTGTTCTAATAACTTTATTCGGTTGACAGCACAATTGCATATCACACACAAATGTGCCACATGGTCCCGCACTTAACTTAAAATAGTAAATAGAAATTGTGTAGTAACAGTAACAGCAAGTTAACTAATTGTACTCTTTTGTTTGTCATAATTTTTTACAAAAAAAAACGTCATTATGCTTAAATGTTGTATGGATCTTTCTCCTGCATACTAAAATACAGATTAATAAATTTTTGGATGGTGGTATGCAAGTAAAAAATAGTTAATAGCATAGTTAATATACAACAAAAATTAAAAAAAAATTTTTTTTCTATTTTAGATCATCGCAGTCTAGTTTGACAAGTAATAATCCATTTGAATGCGAAGTCAATAAAGACTTCAACATTCCAAAAACTTATAAAAGGTATCGGAAAAAAAGGAGAGCTCCGCAACCACCTTCACCATTGGTAAAATTACATACATTTTAATAAACATATGTTAAGAACATTTTTTTATTTTTAGCAAAACGATTATGATTTGGATAAAGAAACTGATGTTTCAATCAATAATGATGGAGGAGTTGATATTAAATCACTTGCTAATGAAATAGAACTGTTTGTTAATGAGAGATCCGAATCTCCAATCAATTACGATGCAAAAAAAGAAAAAAAAAATAATCTGGTTAAACAAAACATAGAAAATCGATCATTGGCTCTTCTAGAATCTGATACCGTTGTTAACTCGAGCGCGCCTGGGTTTGTTGGAAATACATTAACAGCTTATATTAAGAACCAGCCCAAGACAGTTCATCCATATGGAACTTTGAATTGTACTGAAGATATTAAAGAAAATGATTTAGCTACAAAAGATTTGGATGTTCAAACTACCCAATACTCAAATAAAACTAAAAAAAATGAAAATGAATTTGAAGATAATCCTAATCCAAATATTATTACCAAATTACACCAGCTACATGACCACCCTATGTCAAAAACTATTAATAGAATAGATAATTATTACAAATCGAACACTTGCAAACCAAATCACACTTCTATGAGTTCAGAAGAAACCTACAACCTTCAAAATTTACTGAAAAAGTTTGAGTCTAATGAACCTGTATCATATTCTAAAAACGATTTTTATGATATTAGTCAGACTCCAACCTTAAATAATCATAAATCGAACCAATTGAGCCTACGAAAATCAATTAATAAAGCTATTGAATCTATAAGTCGTAATCAACAGCTTTTAAATGACACTGCAGCCAAAGGAACAAAATCAAGATTAACATCTTTATACCAAAATGATGAAACAAAATATTTCTACGCAAATGAATTAAATAGTCAAAACGTTAGATGCTCGGACCCGGAATCAAAACATATGTCAATGTTCAATTCTAATACCGACGACATATTATCAAAAACTCAAAATAATAACATTTATAAAACAAAAATACTAAAAACAACGGTAAAGTACAGAGAGTCATCGCCAACATCATCAAATTTAGATTGGAACCCTTTACCAAAACCAAAGCGAACTAGTAATAAAGAAGAGTAATGTGTACTAAGTCTTGTCTAATAAATAAATACACCTGGCAATCGTTTAACACGAATTCTTTCAGCATGAATTCGGTCTAACAGCATTGAAAAATATCGAAATTTATTTTATTTTTTTTTTAATTACGCGGTATTGTGATTTTGTATGCATCACTTCGCATGGATTGCGCGTAGAAAAGGGAAATCTCACAGTTGAGCTTTTTCAATAGTGTAGATTTAGATCGAAATTGAAATTAGATTGAAATAAAGACACAGTTTGTTCGTTTAATTTTGTATACTTTATATGCCAAGGCGAGGATTACACTAGAATTATTACGCTAGAATTAACAACAGACGGACCCGCATTGGACCTGGTTTAAGCGGGAACAGGAGGTTTGATAGAGTTCAATTGTAATGATGTGGCAGTCAGGTCACTGTGCCAACCTACGATACGTTTATTTGCCACGATGATATATTTTGAAGTGTCTTCTGCCTTTTCTGATGAGCCTCCCTCACAGCGGCTGTCGAGCGCCGAGAAAGAGCAAAGCACCAGCAAGAGTATAAGCAAAGGCCAACAAAACGGTGATAAAGAGTTGTTACATATGCTCAACTGCTCTTTGTGCTGACATGGTCGGGCGATTAGCCGAACACTCACATTTTGAGCTGTCAGATGTAATAACACTAGGCAACAATATTGCATTTTTTTCCCGCTGTGAACGAAAACAAATTTTTAAAAGATTTAGGGCCTTAACATTTTTTGAGGAATTATGTTTTTTTTAATGTTTTTTTTTGTTTAACCTTAACCTTTAGTTTCGGCTTAGCGTTTGGATCGTTGCTGGCCCAACGGCCAAAATGGGATCAAATCAAACGAAACGGACTTGTAATTTTGGTTTTACCGAATTACTTTAGTGCTTTATATAAATTCTGATCCGCTCATCGAAAGACGACTTAAGTTCAAGAGAAGGTTGGAAAAAATACTTTAACCTTATAAAGAGTGTTACAAAGAAGCTTTTAAAGCCACTAAACAATCTAAAATTACTGATTTTTTAATAAACCAAAAGAGCCACCACAAAAAAATCACATTTTGATTAATTTGAATAATAAAACAGATTTTTTGGCTTCAGATTTTAAATTCTAGGAATGTTACCCCTATTTTGTACTAAATCCCTAATTCACTCAACAATCTTTTGCTTAACACGAGGTTTTCTAGGGACGTAGCCCCCATGTTAAGCGAGGGCCGGATGTAAGTCTATATATTCTTCGGTGCAATAGACAGATCGTAATAATGTTAAGCACATTGTAACACGTAAAGCGATTTGAGTTCCCATGTTTCGATGTTACTTTATCGCCGGCTTGTTCGATCCATCCCTATCTAAAGTCAACCATGAAAATTTCTTGGTTGGATTGCTTGATCTGTGCTTTGTCTCGGATCTGACCTTAGCGTTGCTGACCGTATTCGTATTCATACAGTTTACCAAGGTCGAACGGTATTTTCAGCCCCTTGTTTAATAAGCTCACTGCTTCATAATCTTCGACTAGTTAAGCCGGTGTATTCACCAGGTCCCGACGGAATTCCTGGCTGTGTACTCAGGAACTGTGCCGACGATCTGTGTGGGGTTCACTATTTACCCTTTTTATTAATTCCTCATGCTTCCCCGAAATCTGGAAGGAATCTTTTATTATTCCTCTCCATAAGAAAGAAAGCAAGTCTGATGCAAATAATTATAGAGGTATATTTATGTTATCCGCTAATCCTAAAATGTTTGAAAAAATGTTTGCTTCTCACTTGCAACATCTCTGCAATTAACTTGGTTTAGAATTAACTTGGTTGATGATCTTGGTGTTAAACTAGACCCCAAGTTAAAGTTTTCTGAACACATTTCTACCATGTTAAATAAGGACATGAACGTGCTTGGGTTTATAAAACCCAACCCTTCGCATGTAACTAAGACTCTCTATATCTCGCTTGTTCGTCCGATTTTAGAGTACGGCTCTTGTGTATGGTGCCCCCAGTACAAAGTACACCAGGACCGTATAGAATCAGTCCAGAAAAAATTTTTAATTTATGCTCCGCGTGACCTTAACTGGGATGCAGGTGTGAGACTGCCATCTTACCCTCGCAGATTGCTTTTAATAAACCTTCCAACCTTAGTTAGTCGTAGATAGCCCTGACTAGTTGAGTCGCATAAACTTTACGATTCCTATTAGATCTACTAAAAACTTTGTTCCTTTGTTCCTGTAACTTTTTAGATCAAATTATTCCTTGCTGAACCGTTTAGGGCCTAATGCTCGGATTCAATTGTCAATTGTCTGAAGGCAGAATCAGAGATCCTGACCGCCATGAAGGATGCCATTATACGCGCAGATAACTCGTTTGTCTGCGAGGTCAAGGGTATCAAGTGGTATAAGGGAGCTAAAGCAGTGGCTTGTGGCAATGCATAAACTCTTAAGTTTCTCAAAACCAAGGTCCAAGGTTTTGGTGAGCTTTGGCCAGGAGCGGCACTCTGCGTGGTCCCCACGGATCAGATTCCCAGGAGAACGATCATGAAGGTGTGGATTTGAAAACAAAATTTTCTTGGCATGAATTTTTGGTTTTATCGTTATCGTTTGTAGGAATAGATAAATAAACGTTTTTACCTAAAAGTTGCAAGAACAGTATGAAAAAAACTTTAAAATCAGGCCCCAAAGTGTTTGCGAAGAGTGCGCTCAAAGCTGTATATGCTGTAAGATACCTTATTTAAGGCTGGGATATTCATCAGCTTGTCCAGGGTTCCTCTAAAAGAAATTTGTAGAGTTGTTTAGAGTTGTTGATTGATAGTTCTTAATTTGAGTAATTGGGTCTTGTTTAAGATTATTTTATTTTCCGGAGGTGCTGAAACACCACTTTTTTTGTAGAGAACCGTGGGTAGAGCAATACTTCGTTGGCTCTGTTTATATCAGAGTGATTATTGTTTCCAACCAGCGTGGATGCGTTAACACTCCGCTATTTGTGACGAGCCATGGCTAAAACCATGATTGGACGGCGTTTGGACGTGGCACTCCCAATCTTCGTCGGGCCTGTGGGGTGACCCCCTGGTTGTTGGTAGTGAGACGTGGAGCCGTCGCAAGACTCATCGTCGGAGCTTACGAGAGGAGCTGGGTAGGCGTTCATATTTATTTTCTTCTGATTGGCGGTGTGTTGGTTTTGGTGGTAGTGATTTTCCTTCTGATGGGCTAGCGTCCGGTGCTTACTGACGACACCTTGGATCCACAGCCGTGGTATGGTGGCACCGTGGACAGTTGGCGCTCTTATTCGTCCCGCGGTAGGGGAGGTGCAGGTCCTTTGTCCATCACGGTCAACGTTGTGTCATTGATGATGAGGGTGCCATGATCCACTAAGGTAATTGCGTCCAGGTGACCGGGTAAGGTGGTGCAATGGGCGACGATCCCAGCCACCAATTGTTGGGCGCAGGTGGGCCCTTGCCGTTCCTTGCAGAATGTGGCGCCGATGGTGGTCTCGCGTGCTTCCAGGCTGATAGCCCAGGTTCCACACTCAGCCACGGCGTTTCCCTCGCTGGACGGGGAAGATTGTCAATTTCCTGCAGACTAGCTTGGGTTGTGGTAACTTGATAAAAAATGTCAGCAGGTTCGGGCTCTGGTCCACGCTAACGCTTGAAACTCCCAGTAGTTCCACCAGCCTGATGTTGGTAGGAAGTTGTTCGTTGATATCTTGTATCGGCACCGTCCAGTATCGTCGGCCTGATGATGTTCATTTTGACCCGCGTCAGGTCTAGAATCAGGTTTATATGTCTGGACGTTGGCCGTTGATATGCAATGACTGCACCATCTAGTGGCCCATGCGACACCAAGCAGAAACGCAGCCCCTCCAGCCGCATGACACTCGACGCGTGTTACCGAACCGATCACGAGCATGCAGGAAAGATAGGTATTAGACTAAAATTCGAGGAAAATTAGAGCTAAACACAACTAAAAGAGCTAAACATGCAAAGATAGCTAAGAAATAGTACTAATTACGGGAAAGGTATGTTAGTATTAGTGATTTAAGAAGAGGAAGGGAATTAGTAGTGGATATTATATGGTAGAGGGAATTGAAGTCCGAGCATAGGACCCTAAACGGTTCATGCAAGGAATAATTTGATCTACAAAGTTACAGGAACAAAGGTGTACTTTGTACTGGGGGCACCACGACCAAGCGAGATATAGAGAGTCTCGTTATATAAGGGTCGTCAAATTCCTTTGACCACCTCTTTATAAACCCAAGCAAGATCATCAATCAAGGTAATTCTCTCAAGAGAACCACCGCAGAGGCTATAAGGAGCCAAAAAGGGGCGTGACCAATTACTTCATTAATTTGCATTTCGAGGAATTTAGGTGTAACATATCTGCACAACACCATGACTAAAAGCTATTGAGGTCGGATTGCAAGCGAGAGTGAAATGAGTTGTAGAGAATGAGTGAACAGGCAGTGATGGTACTGTTTCTGATACTGATTTTATTCAACAAACTTAATTTCTATTTATAGGTAACAAAAGGTACAGAAAGTGCTGAGTCTAGTAAGAATATGGTAAAAGGGAATTGGAATTAATATTGAATTAATTTGGATTTAATATGATATTGTGTTATTGGGCAATTGT